TGTAATCCTTTGCATTTCTAATGTGATCAGCCACTTCCTGGGTAACCTTTGTGTGGTCACTGTGTCTTTCCAGCTGCCACCTGTGGTAGGAGGAATGGAAATAATTCAAGAAATTGTTCAGTGAAGTAACTGGCAATTTAGCCACAGCTTAGGAAAGATTAGAGCACCTGAGAATTCATGACAGATTACATTAGTTTTCAAAACATTTCCGTGTCTCCAGGAATTTTAATGCTCTCCGTTAATGCACCTTGGATAGTCCTACAAGGCAAGTTCTCTCTGTCTGTGACAATTTTGGGTTTTATATAATCAAATTATACTGAAATCTAGTTTCCTAGATTAATTTTCAATGCTGTTTAGATTAGCAGAGTCTGTAAGTCTGCTCCCCTCATTTGCCATGTTTACATACTTCGTAGAAAGTCAGGGAAGTTCTTTTAACCTGGACTAACGAGTAAAGCGTTGGTTGCTTTTCTAACCTTCTAGCATCACGATACTGGAATCTCTCTCTTTAAAAGTGCTGTCCTGAAGTAGCATCTACTGCTTTATGTTTCTTCCAGTGCCTATAGCAAGTACAGCTTCTAATACTTCAACTTGAGCTTCAGTCAAGGGCTCAGTCCTTGTCCTGAGACAGAATGATGGGCCATGTTCCAAAAATGCATCGATCAGATTTCGTAGGAGTTTCGTTTAACCAGCAACATTAGAAACCTTCAGTGTTAGTACTTAATGTCACTAAGGGAGCATTTTATTTTATCAGTATTTTTCTGTATCAGTATTGACTATGCAGTTTGTACAACTAAAGGCTGAAATTGGAAACAATTCTGTCTTTTACCCCTCAATATATATGTCAAGTCATTGAATACATTGTTGCTCGGATTGGATTATCCTCCATTATTAAAAAAGTCAAAGTGACTGTAGTTCTGGAAAGCTCCTTTGACAATGAGCACAGGCAAAGATGTAGGAATGGGCAGCAGCTATTTTCTATATATAAATAAAAAGTCTATAAGTCATAACAATTTTATTTCCTCAGCTACTACATATAACCAGATGAGGTGAGATGGCAAGATCTCCCCCTTGCCTACTGGGCTAGTATATTCAAATTAACATAAAGCTTGAGCATTCTTACTGTTGATGAGTTCGATTTACTTACATTAAACCAATTTAAATAGCAGCAAAATACGTTTTGTGCAAAAATAGCTTCATTGTAAGTAAATTATAGTTCTCTTATGAAGTGGTGGGCCTCCTGAGTTGAACCTTCAGTGCACTAGGTCTTTGGTCGCTTCATTGTAGCCCTGTCTGCTGGTCCTGTGGCTGGTCCAGACACATTACAGTATCACAACAGTGACAGTTCAGCCCAACAGATAGACACATAGCACAGTCACTGAACAGGCTGGAATTGTTCTTGGACTGAATTTTTTTGTTCCATGGTTGTGGTAGTGTACATCTCCTCCTGAGATGAATGCTTCAGAGCAGAATACCCCATCTTTTGATTACCATGTCTTATAGGAATTGCTATTTTTCACTGTGCTAATTGAGGTCTTTGAAATCTTGGGGACTTAAGGGGATTGCAGTCTTGAACTCTAGTTTCATGGAGTGTAGTTTTTAAACTGTTTAGTTGAAAACTTTTTTTTACCAAAACTTGTCACAAGTTGCCACATAGGATCAGAGGCCAGCAGATTTCGGATAGGAGAGTATTTTTCAGGCATTCAGATTTGTTGTAATAAACAGGAATCACCACAAGCTTGGGTTTCATGAGGAGCCCAGACACTTGTGTTTCAGGACTGATGTCAGCTTTCAGCTCTTGATACACTTAAAAAACTGTGTGAATTATGCCAGTGCTGTTTAGCACAGTTTTGTCTTCAAAGCATGCAGCATCAGGGCACCACTGGAGACTGCTCTGCATTTGTATGGTCTTCAATCAACCACAGCTTCCCTGTAGTGCAGGATGCATGAAGGTTGAATATGTTTTGTAAAGAAATAATGTATTTGTGTTGTGCAACTGACTCACACTTTGAATGTATTGGGTGTTTTTAGGTATTTTATTATCAGATTATGCATAATCGTACAAGTGGTAATGCATGTAAAGACAGTTTGAAAAATGAACAGTGTGAAAGGAGATGAGACAAGAAGTAGAATAGAACAAAGGGCCAAAGAAACATTTCAAAATAAGTACTTGGGATTTTTAAAAATTGCTATTATTGTAATTTACCTTTTGTATTCAAGAGTTAACAAACCACAATAACTTGTTCATTACCTTTTCCCAACATTCCCGCAGACCTAGATCTACAAATACCTGAAAAAATGTTAATTTAGGCAGCTAATACAGCTTTCTAATTTCTTTGTTGGATCCTTCAGGCATACCCTGTGGCTCAACCTTTTTTCTGAAGGTCAAGAGAGTTTTATTTGTCTGATATAAGTAGCCTGAGTGTGGCATTTGTAACTTGAGTAATGTTATGGATGATAACACCATCAGACATTTTTACAGCTTCAGCAGGAGTTAAGCCAGCAGAACTACCAGCCTGATAAATGCTTTCATCTTAAAGGTTGTGTAGCTACAATAACCTCAAAACTTAATGCTGCTCTTTGAAACTTATAGCCTGGCTAAAGAGATGAGGAGTGCCCTCTGACATTTCTGGGTTGCTAAAGAGCTCTCTCAGGTTCCAGAGCAAGAATTAGGTTGCCCATGTGCAGCTGTTCAGATCTGAACTGGATATTGCTGTAGGACTTTGTATTGTTAAATGAATTGGGGAAAGTGCTACTCAAAAGAATCAGCTTTAGGTTGACATGAGACTTACTGCTGTTTTCAGAAACAATAGATTTTCACCTCCTCTGTCTGGCTATTTTGCAAATACAAAACTCCTAAGAGCCTGGTAAAAAACTTTTATATAGAGCAGGTTCAAAGTGGTATGAGAAGCTAGAAATGGTAACCAATAGGATTTTGACTTCGTAGAAGTTTATTGTGTTGAGATCTGAACGAAAGTGGTTATGCAAGGATTATGCATGTAAAACAGCTGAAATAATGAACAGCATGAAAGGAAATGGGACGGTACAAGTGGAAAAAGAGTAGACTAAAGGGCCAGAGGGAAGGAACTGTGAGATGAACAAAGCTTGAGTTGTTGCTTTTGTATCTAAGAATAATGATCTGAGGCTTGTAGCAAACTTTAGCCTGTGTTTTAACCCAGCAGCTATTTAACACAAAAATATTTGTAACATGTAGTGATTAAAGTTAAGGAAGCCAGATACTGTTTTTTCGTTGCTTCTGTTAATGTGAAGTAACTCCATTGATTTTCTTAAGATTTTAATGACTTCACTGACGTTCCTCCGTTAATCTGCTATTCTAGTTTATAACCTTCTGTGTTTCCTCAACATGACCTTGATGATAGAAAAAAAATTAGTACTGTTTATTTTTGACTGAGACCTTTGAAGCCTTGCTTCATTTCTGTAACTTTCAGAAGTCCAAACATGACAGTTGCTTCTTAGGTGAGTACTATTGTGTATGGCTGATAGGATACACAATTTGAATGCTGCAAGTCTGGCATAACATCTCAGAATTGAATAGAAAGGAAGACTTCTGACAGCAGAGGTCAACGAGGGTGATTGAAGACTTTGAAGAACAGCGGTACAGGGTGATCCTAAGTAGGCCATGATCCTTCAGTTGGCAAAGAGATTATTAAGGGTTTAAATCATAGGTCTCTAAAATTATGACCAATGTTGAGAATATAAGTAGGGAAAAATTACTCCATATTTCTTTTAGTGTTAAGAGGTAAAGGTTGCCGAGTGAGATTATCAGTTATCAAAGAGGGAGTTATTTTTGTCAGGAGGTACATGAGTGTGGACGGGAGGTACCTGCTTAGTGCCTCCAGTTCTCTTACTCTTCCTCAAACACTTAAATCACCGTTAGAGATACAATATAAGGCTAGATGGGTTTTTAATCTGGCCATATAATTGTTAGAATCTTAAATTTACAAAATTTACAAGCACTGGAAATAGTTGGTAGACTGAAAGATAAGTTAAAGATTTACCCTTTCTTTAGCTTCATTTTCAATGCCTGATAGTTTTCAGGTTGACACATGCATTTGAACTTGCTTTAAAATGTATTTGCCTCATATAGAATAATGTGGTAACAGCAGCAGCAGCAGCCTTGGCTAATGCATTTATTGTTTTGTGGATTTCTTAATCCTTGTTTCCTGACATTTTTCTAAAATTCATCAAATATGCAGGATCTTAACTTGCTTAAAGTCTCAAGACAGAATATGCTTATGAAAGAGAAATCGTAGGTTCCAGTCAGTCTGACTTCAGTCAGCACACACTGGCTGTGGAGTAGCTCAGGGGCAAGAAAAAAAACTCATGTTGTCAATTTTGTATTTTAAATGGTGGGTAGAAGTTGTTCTTCATCTGTTCCTGAATATGTAACGTATTGCCTTCCTCTTGGACCATAATAATCTACTTCCAGTTGATGGATCAAATTGCTTTTTGCCTCTGTTTTTGGAAGACATTCTCCCACCTTCTCGCAGCTCGTCAACTGTATCACCTGTCCTACTCTATTCAGCTTTCTATTTCTCAGAAGCTGTTTGAAATCTGCTAAGACCTCATTTTTGCCAGCTGTGCCTTTTGATATCATTGTGACTGATGTATACCAGGGTTTCTGCCACCAATTTTAAAGAACTGCAGAGTCTGGGGTAGCCTTTGTGCCAGGTCACTTTGGTGGTAGTAATGGCCAAGTTCAAATAAAGTGTAATGGCTCATATTAAAGTGAACAAAATGCACCCCACCACAAAGCATGATTTGCCCATAGATTTTCAGAATTTACCTCTAGACCCTGCTGTTTTGTCTTCATTCTTTATATACATCTTTGGTTGTAGTGTCCTATTGTGGCACCATTTCACATCCTTGACTGCTTTGTTTTCAGTGAATTTCCAGCATAGCTAGTTAATTACAAGGTGCATTTGAAGAGGCAGTAAGAGGCTGATGTTTGGCAGGACTGAGGGCCGTTCTGTTATTTTCAGGTACTGTTTGGCACTGCTGATGGACAGGTTATTGTCATGGACTGCCATGGCCGAATGCTCGCCCACGTGCTCCTTCATGAATCAGATGGCATCCTCAGCATGTCCTGGAACTACCCCAGCTTCCTGGTGGAGGACAGCAGCGAGAGCGACACGGACTCTGACGACTATTCCCCACCACAAGGTAGTGTGTGCACGTTCTGTTCCCGCTTTGCAAGTGCTCATGAAGATGTCTTGAATGCTAGGGATTTGTCATGTGGTACTAAAACAGCAGGATGGCCACAGTTTCAAGCTGGTAGATGGTGCATTCCTGTGGAGGTAGCATGGGGGATGGAGCGCTTTGCTACCAGAGACTGGGTTAATCCCCAGGTCTGCCACCAGTGTCACTGCATGGTCATACCTCATCTGTGCTGCTCTGCCTCCATTAGCACATACTAGATAACAACAAAAAGCTTGAAGTTTTTTGGTGAGGATGAATGAAAAACACTAGATTGGGGTGTATCAGGTTTCACTGTTAAGCAGATATGCATAAGGTATTGCGATGATCCATATGTATGGAAGTAGTCAGAGTGCAATCACAGAAGTTAGTACATCATTACGTATAGATTCACATGAAAAGACACCAATACTAGACATAGTGGAAAGTACTACTTCTTCCATTTTAAAGAAATCCTATGAAACAGAGATAATGCTCATTGTTGTAGTCCCATTCTTGGTGGTCCTCACATAGAGAGCTCAATAAATTCCACAGCAGGATGGGAAATGAAAATATTTCCTGCATAGCATAGGAGGGTGACTGGAACTGTCTGGAGTTACTAATTCTCATGCTTCAGCACACATTTCCAGTTTGAGGGTCAGGAAGAAATCCTTCCCTCCCCTTAGATATAAATGTAACTTATTGGGTGAAATGTTTTGGCCTTAAACTCTTGGGAAACCACCAGTAGTAAAGAAATTGGAGGCCTAGGTATCCATGCACAGTCAGTCCCATCCTTCTTATTCAAGTAATGCTGATACCTCTTCATGCTCTTGATTAGTCTGTAAGATCTAGGTAGGCTGTTTCTGTGTTCTGGTATATAAAGTCTAAACTATATGAAGAACTAAAGTAATATAGCTGTTATTGTACAATTAAAAAGTTAAATACATAATAGCTAAAAATAATTCTGAATTTGCATCTTAGAGCTGGACTTTTGAGGACTCTTGCAGCTTTAACTCTTAATTTGGATTCAGTCCAAAAATCTGTCTTTTCCAGAATCATGTTTATAAATGTCAATATGAGAAGCACATGTATTTAACAAATGATGGTAGAAGGTAATGTGATAATCTGGTAAAATGTTAGCATCTTCTAAAACTGAGTTTTGGTTTGGCTTTCATGCCTCAGTTTTGGTACTGGGTGAGGTTTCTTACCTTAGAAGAAGAGAAACAAACTTCACATTTCCTAGCAAGCTTCTAAAGCAAGAAAAAGAACAAAATTAAATAGGGTTTTTGTTGCTTTTTTAAAATCCTGAGGTTCCAGTTGGAGGATGGTGAAGATGCAGAGTACACAGCTGAGAATTTACATAATCCAAATGTTCTAGCTTATTCTGAGTCAGTCAAGGGGTGGGTGGACTCTTTGCAAACCTATTTTAATGATTACCCAAACATCATGTGTTTTCTTCAGAGCAGATGCAGCATAAACCTCTCAAAGGTGACAAGCCTTTGACTCAGACAGATGTGTAGCAAGGACTGGGACTTTGATGGGTTTTTCTTATCAAATCATATACACGTAGAGATGCTGATTACTAGATATATTACTCCAGAGTGCTTTTTAATGAGCATTTTTCAAGTTCAGGAAGCAATATCCCTCTTAACTGGCTCTACTGGTTTTGTTGACTGAAAAGATGCTGGTTGGGCATTGAGAGGCACTTTATCAGGGACCATCAGCATCTCCTTTCAGAACTTGTAAACAAAAAGAATGAAACAGCAAGTGCTACAAGTGGTGATATTGGTCATTAAGTATTTGAAAAAGGGAATTTCAGTGAAAGCTGAAAAAAAAGCCCAGAGGAACAGAGACTTTGCATAAATGTTTTTTAAAGCTATGTGTTCCATTTGGGCTCATTTCTGTCTTTGAGTGCAGTGGATCCTATGATGCAGGATATCAGGTAGCTTTTCATGCTGCTGCCTAGCTCTTAACATTTAGAATGCAGCCATTTGTGAAAGGTCAGTATGTTCTCTTAGAAGTCCTTACAGTGTCTCTAAGTGACTTCAGGAGGAGTCTTTAGCATCTGCCCAAGCATAAAGTGTATCTAGTATATAGCTTTTAAGGCAATTATATTGTTTCTTACACTGTTTTTCAATCTGGGTTCCAATGAAGCCTTCCAAAGCACTGGTTTTCAATTTGCAGATGCTTTGTGGAGTTAACAATGGAGAAAGATTGAAAAACACCACTGTATAACATAATAGTATATCCATATATCACTTTGAATATGCTACAGTAAAAGTTAAGTAAGTAAAAACACTGGAGTTTCACAAAACCAGGCAAACTAACTAGCTAAACCTGCCTTGCTTTTGCCTGTAGACATTGCAGAAATAAGCAGGTAGAGTTTGAAGCTTGGGACCATTCCTGATGGCGGGAGGCTGAAATGCAGTTTATTTCAGCCTAGATATAATTCCTCCTGGAATTCATTCTGTAAACTCCTCCTTTTGCTCACTCCAGACCCTTGTTTTTGCAGATGGACCAGCTGCATATCCCGTCCCAGTGCAGAACACCAAGCCACTACTCACTGTCAGCTTCACGTCGGGAGACATCAGTTTAATGAACAATTATGACGACTTGACTCCTACTATCATCCGCTCAGGGTTGAAAGGTACAAAAAGAAGCCATGTCATCCCCTTCCTATGCTCCTGTTTTTAGTGATGTGTGTATATGTTATGTTTTTGTGGTTGTCTCTCCTAACCCAGAAGAACTCAGCCATTATTGCCATTTCCAGCAGTGACACCTGCTGGGGGAAGAGCAGCGCTTGGCTGATAGAGCTTTTATGTTTGAAATAGTGTTTCAATTTTTGAGATCATGTTTTTATGGCAGCATTGTAGAGCAAATTGATCTGTCTTCTGTTTTGCAGTGGCAGGGGCTAATAGGTTTATGCTTCTTTGTGTGAATGCTCCTGCTATGTAACACTTCCTTGGCATCTTTAATTTACGAGGTCTACTCTCATGCTTCTTGTAGCAAGATACAAATCACAATCCTGCTTTAACTCCCACGAAATTTTGGAAACTTGCTAGAATTATTCATTATCAAGAGGGAAGTTATTCTGAGAGAAGGAAGATTCCACTGATTAGTTATATACATCTTGCGAAGTGATGTGCATGAATGTTTGTAAGATGAGGGGATGAGTTCAAATGTTCACCCAGCAAAAAGTCCCTTGCTTTTCCAGCACACTCAGTACAATTTAAAGTGCTTTGCCTGGAGAGAAGTTTTATTTCACTACGACACATAAGCACATATTTAAATATAGGTTCCAGTACTTATTTGCAGTTTCTTTTCCACTTCTGCTTCCATCTATGCCAACACATGAAGCACATGCCTGGAAAAATATAGCATTCTGGGGCAATTCTATGATCCAGAAAACTTCTTCAGCCAAAAGGATGCTAAAAGTCTGGGAAAATGGAACCAGTTTAGAGAAGCTCTTGTGATATCCACCAACCAATCTGCCCAGCATCTCCACAGCATTGTAGCAAATAGAGTAGGAGGTAGTCTTGAGTTGTCATCTGGTCTTGCTTTTGGCTTTATCTTGCTAAGGATATCTATCCTGTTTCTCTTTCCTCACTGATTTTCATTAATGCAAAAAAGATCCTTTAATTAAGCCCTCCTCCTCTAGCAAAGAATTAACATGCAGGCTACAATATAAATATTTTTTATGAATGTTAAACCGGACTACATTGTTGACATCAGTAGAAGAAGAATGTGCAACGTCTTGCTGGATTGAGCATGTGTGTGAGACAGAGAGAGAAGGGTGATTGGGAGATCACTGTCTGTTGTTTTGAAGCTACCCCTTGTACAGTGGAAAGTATTTTGCATATAGCTGCCATATAGATGGAAATGTTTTATCTACTGTCTCGTAAATTTTCTTTTCAAAGACTATATTTTACTGGTTGTTATTACATGCAAGAATGTGCAAAACTGCTCAGCTCCAGCCACTTAGTATTCTGCTGAGAGTGAATTGTCTTCAGAATTGTGTGCAAATCTTAATTCACGTGTTTCTGTTTGAAACCTAGAAGTATTACTTTGTGGTCTCTGCAGCAGATGCCCTTGTCTTTATGGGCTGCTGTAGGCTACTCAATGTAATTTTAAAGCAGGCAACTATGAAACTTATTTCAGGCATTACTGATATATCTTGCTGTTCTAGCTTTGCATAGCTGTCATTTTACTGGGAGCATTCATATTAAATTTATGCAGAAAAACATTTGCTGTTGGATGAGAATTTGATTATCCAAATATAAGTTCTTTTCATCCAGCTTCAACACTCCTGGAAGTTTTTTCAGTCCTAGTGGAGGTCTTGAATTGTTCAGTTGTATCCTTTCTTTTTTAATGCTTTTTAACTCAGTGATTCTCAGTACACTGCTACCTGCAGAACTGCTGAACTGTATTTGCTAGTTGTACCAATTAACTCCAACTACCACATGCAGGGCTATTGCACATTTGAGGTGTTATCTATTCAAGGTTTGCTAATACACATGCAAGTAGTGGCTGGTGAGTAGTTTTGAGGGATGGCTCTGATCCATTGATTTGCTTGCAGACTTACCCTAGATGAAACCTCTATGTGATTTCTAATCTCTGTGTGGGTGCTGAGACCTAGTTATCAGTTGAGCTGTTGTGTGTCCGTGTTCAACAGTCATTGAAGACGCCGAGGGGATGCTGCAGCCCATGTTCAGCCCTCCTCTGTCTTTTCAGCTGCCTAATTTTAGGAGTTTTGAGAGAGAAAAAACATCTGGATGCAGTAATCACTCTTCTTCCTCTTGCTATGGGGACCCACTGAAAGTTTTACTTGAAGATATATATCCAAAAGAGAGAGGGGTTTTTTTCACTCTGGTAATTGTGTAGTTAAGCCATTTAGCAAAAGTGGAGTTGACTAGTGTGCCTCATTGATTTCTAACCTGCCTATCATTGTACTCTCTGAGAAAGATGAATCACTGTAGATTGCTTAAAGGGCTGAGGACTAAGAGGAAAAAAAAGAGGCATACAATGCCTAGCTGTGGAAGAATTATCTTGAGGAACATGGGTCTTGCCTCTGGTACGTACAGAAGCATAATTGCCATGAGAAATATCAGAAAGTGGAAATAATACAAAACCATTTTAAATTGCACATAAAAGTCCCAGAAAATGACAAGTTGACAACTTTAAACAATTTTGAGTTTCTTCCTGCCAACTCTAATTTCTCTCCTGCTTCTTCATTTGAAGAGAGCTTCTCGCCCACAAATGCCTTCAGAAGGTTCTCAGCAGACTGAGCATCCTGGAGCACAAAAGTTTTATCTTTACCTTCACTTTGTCTCAGCACAAAACAAAAAGGTTTAAAGACTAGCTTAGTCTTCCTTGTACATGCAAATCTGCCTCTGAAACACAAGCAGAAACACAAAGTACTGTTTTAGTGTTCTTATTGCAATGTGACAAAGATCTGGAGGATATAAGACTTTAAAACTAACATCTTCAAATGAAGCCGTGGGTGTTCCTCATGAGATGCCTGTAGAAGTAACTGATATGTATATTCATATCCATGTATATAAGAGATTAAGCAGTCCCAGTGTGCCTCTGGCAAGCTCTTGCTAGACAGATGAGTAGATTTTCACATGTCAATTATCAGAAGAAAACCTATGGCGTGGAGGCCATATGTGTCTATGGAGAAAAATCCCAAAGTCTTTCTAGTTTCATGTTATCCTAAACTGTAAATCTAATTTGAGTTATGCTAAAAGTTATACTCACAGTCAGTAAGAACATGAAGCATTGCCAAATACGCTGTATTTTTGCACTGTAGGCCTTTCCAGACAAATACACGTTGCTTCTCTCTTGCTGAGATTATTTATCTGCTTATTAACTTAATTCCACTTATTTACCCCAAAGATGTGTACAGAATCTTCCACATCGGTTTTAACGTCTCTAATAAATTCTTGTACTTAGGAGGAGCCACTGATGATTACATTTTAGGTTCACCATAGAGAGAGAAAAAGGAATGTTTTTTACACATTTTTTGCAATTTACAAATACAGAGAGTAGTTTTGGGAAGTGCATATGTGGCATATTTGCTACTATTTCAATGAAAGGATTTCGTTTTCTAAGTACATTCTAGTTACTTTTGAGAGCACGATTTATCTACTTAAGTCACTTTCCAGCACCTGGAAATGCTGTTCCTGTGATCCTGATCTGTGTTTATTGCAAACCATCTTTGCGGTTTCAGATGTGGTTGTGCAGTGGTGTACACAAGGAGACCTACTTGCAGTAGCAGGCATGGAGAAGCAAAGCCAGCTAGTTGACCTCAGCAATGGTTCCCTGTTGAAAAGTGCACTTGTCAAGTTCTACAATGTGCGTGGGGAACATATCTACACTCTGGAGACACCTGTGCAGGTAAGAGGTGTTTTTTAAGTCAGTTTTAAATGCTTTATTGACATGTTTTTCCCACATTAGCTTGTTGGTGTAGACCTGCAGTATGAAGAGTGTTGCAAAATATCATATTTAGAACGTGTTCTAAAATATTATATAGATAAAAATGCACTCTAAATAATTATTGCTTACATTAATGTAGATACCCAAGAGTGCATCTGATTCCAAGGCCTGCTATGCTACGTATTCTGGAGATATATAATGAGAAACAGTTTGTCTCCCAAAAACCACTCGGCCACAAGTGGACACGATTGAAGATGAAAATTCTCATGTTTTATGGATAAGTGACTTGAGGAGAAAAAAATTGGTAACTTGCTTGATGATGTAGCAGAGCCAAGAACTGGATAAAAATATTCCAAGTCTAGTATCAGAACCACAAGACTATTCTACCTTTGTTATTGCTGTAATTTGCTGATGTACAATCAGTGGATCTGATGCAATTTTTTTATTGTTTATGGCATCAGATGGAGAAGGATGAATCAAAGTCTTGTTTCCGTTCCCACCTTCTGTACCTTCTGTACAGACTTTCATTGTAACCTTGGTCATCTTACTTGACAAGTAAATGTCAACACATGGTCTGTGTGCTTCTTAGCAGCACGACATGCTGCTTAGGTCTTTGATGATGTTCCAGAATCCAACTGAATGTCCCTCTAGGCTTTGTTTAATTTTCTGCAGAAGAGGAATGACTGTTTCAATCTCTGACTGTTACTAGTTAAACTTAATTAATTTTTTATAGCTTTGAAATCGAAAAGTGAAGGAAAATGCTATACATAACTTATTTAATGATGTTTAATGATGATACTGTTTATTATAATTTCTTTTTCAGTACCCTGATCTGGGATGGATGCAAATGGATGGCGTAGTAAACCAGCTGCTAAGCATTTGTGTTTGCTTATATTTAGCATTAACCTGTGCTTATTAACGTTAGCACTCTAATTTAGATAGAATTCTGTAGTTTTGCAATGTACAAAGTAATATTCTCTAAAGCCAACCTAAGTAAGTACAGTGACATCTAATGCTCATTAAGGTACCTAAAGGACTTACTCATGCATACAGCTTTATTGTCTTAAACATAGCCCTTTCAGCTAAGTAGCACAGCTTTTTCCTCTCTGGATCAGTTATGGATAAAACATATTTATACCAGTGTTGCCTATTCCCACACCAGGTAAAAAACAAACCTTGTTCTCTTACTTCAGCAGCAGGATTCCCTATGGCCGTGTTAGCAGCTGAGCCAGTAGAACACTCAGGTCAAGCTCTGAAATCAAGCTGTGGTTTGAGCAGAGGAACCAGTGGGGTCAGGTTGCCTTAAGGTGTGCATGAGTGTAGGCTCATCTCTTCTGTCTTCCCCACTTTGTTCCAAGTCACCTCATTTCCTCTAGTTCTCCCTACATCCCATCAACTTCACCTTTTCAGTTTTTTTCCTTTCTCCTCTACTTTATCAGCTGGGAGAAAGCACATATTGTGGCTGACATGAGGGCTAATTATTCTGCCACTCTATGAGTACTTGTAGGACAACTGACAGGTCGTACAGAACAGGTAACTGCCCAGTTCATACTGCTGAATTTGTCACAGTGAAAATATTGACATGAGTCTCTCTGCTCTTTCCAGCTGATAATTTTCACTGAAATTACAGCATTTTACTATCATGGAGACTTCTTCCCTCCTTGTCTACTTAAGATAACAAGTCAACAACTTCAGAAGTTACTAAGCCAGGTTGGAAGTGAAGGATGGGGAGGATGGGGAGTGGCAACCACTAATGAATAGCACAATCACAGTATTTCATTGCCTTGGGAAACCAGGGTGAAAATAACATTCAAAGTGATGGATTTATGTTTATTAAAGAAGATACGCCTGTATCTGCCTATGTGGATTTTATGTTTCTGTGTATTTAAGTGCTGATCTAATGGTATTACCAGCTAGGTGACAGTTATGCTAGAACATTGCAAAGTACTCAGTTGACTAACAAAACCAGATGAAGAAAATTTCCTTGTAACTTTTGTTATGCTGTGTCTGCGCTCCAAAGATGTATATGCAAACATTACAGAGTGAGTCAGTTGTCCCAGTGATTTGTCTAATGACAAATTCATCAGAGTAAATTAATTAGTTTTCTGTACAGTGACAGTCAGCCTTGTAACAGGATTTTGTAAAAATCATCACTGGTTATTGAAGTAAAAAGAAGAATTTCTGCATCTCGCATTCTTCTGCTAACAGTGTTTCCTCTGAAGCAAGCAAATGTGTGACTGGAAAAGCACATTTATGCTAAATGAGTACTGTTCTGAATATAAAGGTCAAAAAAAGTAAAGCATCAATGAACATAGAAAATAGTGAATTACATGTGCAAAACTGATTTTCCATGTGGTTCTCTGTCACAATTCTTTGATAAAGCAGATGTCTGAAAATTTTATCTCTAAAATACACTGAACTGTCATTCTTTCTGTCAGTTCTCTATCCTGAGTGTCTTTGGTAGGATATTCAGGAAACAAATTTTATTGCTTATAACAAAACTCAGTCTAACTGTCATAAGATTTATATGCACCTTGACTGGAATGTTACCTAACATAAAGTCACTGTAGCCCCAAGGTAGAATAGAATTGGGTACTGCAGGTTGCAGTATGATGATGATGATCACTGGATGATCACTGCTGTCATCTTCAAGGTGTTTTATGTGCCACCATCTCCTCCAGCTTTAGTTTTGTTTTGGCATCCTCTTTCACATTTCTTAGAATCATAGAATGGTTTGGGTTAAGGATCATCTAGTTCCAACTCCCCTGCATGGGCAGGGACACCTCCTGCTAGATCAGGTTGCTCAGAGCCCCATCCAGCCTGGCCTTGAAGACCTCCAGAGAGGGGCATCCACAGCAGCATCTCACCACCTTCACAGGAAAAATCTTTTTCCTTATGTCCAACCTGAATCTCCCCTCTTTAATCTTCAAACCATTGCCCTTTGTCCTCTCACTACACACCCATGTAAAAAGCCCTACCCCAACTTTCTTGTAGGCCCCTTTCAGATTTTGGAAAGTTGCTATAAGGTCACCACGGAGCCTACTCTTCTCTAAGCTGAACAACCCCATCTTCTTCAGCCTGTCTTCATAGGGGAGGTGCTCCAGTCCTCTGATCATCTTTGTGTCTCTCCTCTGGATGTGCTCGAGGAGTTCTATGTCCTTCTTATGTTGGGGACTCCAGAACTGGACACAGTACTCCAGGAGGGGTCTCAGCAGAGCAGAGGGGGAGAATAACCTCTCTCGACCAGCTGGCCACGCTTCTTTTGATGCAGCCCAGGACCCGGTTGGCTCTCTGGGCTGCAGGTGCACATTGATGGCTCATGTTAAACTTCTGGTCCACCACTACCTCCAAATCCTTCTCCTCTGGGTTGTCCTCAATACTTACTCCTCCCAACCTGTGTATGTGCATGGGATTGCCTTGACCAAGGTGCAGGACCTTACACTTGGCCTTGTTGAAGTTCATGCAGTTTGCATGAAGAATCTCCCCTCTTTAATCTTCAAACCATTGCCCTTTGTCCTCTCACTACACACCCATGTAAAAAGCCCTACCCCAACTTTCTTGTAGGCCCCTTTCAGATTTTGGAAAGTTGCTATAAGGTCACCACGGAGCCTACTCTTCTCTAAGCTGAACAACCCCATCTTCTTCAGCCTGTCTTCATAGGGGAGGTGCTCCAGTCCTCTGATCATCTTTGTGTCTCTCCTCTGGATGTGCTCGAGGAGTTCTATGTCCTTCTTATGTTGGGGACTCCAGAACTGGACACAGTACTCCAGGTGGGGTCTCAGCAGAGCAGAGGGGGAGAATAACCTCTCTCGACCAGCTGGCCACGCTTCTTTTGATGCAGCCCAGGACCCGGTTGGCTCTCTGGGCTGCAGGTGCACATTGATGGCTCATGTTAAACTTCTGGTCCACCACTACCTCCAAATCCTTCTCCTCTGGGTTGTCCTCAATACTTACTCCTCCCAACCTGTGTATGTGCATGGGATTGCCTTGACCAAGGTGCAGGACCTTACACTTGGCCTTGTTGAAGTTCATGCAGTTTGCATGAACCCACTTCTCAAGCCTGTCGAGGTCCCACTGGACCTTGATTAACTCTCTTGAACTCTTACCTTCAGTGTAGGATTTTATAGTTCATAAACCTAGTTTCCTGTATATAACACCCTAGATAGGGAAATCACACTTATTAAGAAGTATCCAAATGAATGCAGTAGCTCTGCATGGAAAATAACATCCATAAACAGTGGTAGAGGTAGCATAGTGTGGCAGTCTCTCTTGTGCCCTGCCAGCCCATTATGCTGCAAGAATATATTTGCAGAATGTAATGGAAAGAGCATTGGTAAGGGTTCAGCAAATACTGAACTTCTGTTACATGCAATCATACTGTTTTGAACCTTGAAAGAATGATGGAAAAAATTCAGAAGGGACTTCAAAAATTCACACTAGAGTTTTAACTTATTGGAAGCAGTTCTGTGAAAACTGGACCCATACTGTGACTCCAAAGAGTTGATAGTGATTATTTGTTTTACACAAAGAGGATATAATAAGGTTCATCATCTGATTATTAAAAATACACTATCAGTTTCTGTAAAACTTAACTTTTACTACACTTGCCCTTGTGACACATCAAGCTGATGTACCAAAAATACACCCAATTCTTTTAGCTGGCAGTTCTTTTCACGGTCCTTCCTTTCAATTTTTAGAAATACAATCACAAGAGCAGGCTGCCCTGCTGGTGATAATATTTTATTGGTCAAATGTTCATTTCTTATATTTGTTAAATCCTCACAGCCTTTCCCTGGCATCAAGCAGGTATGAGAATAATCAACTCATTCAAGACTCCTTTATGGTTTTGCTAAATTTTTTTTTACCAGAAATGCTGCAACCCAGTCCATAACTTCAGAATTACTTGTCTGATGTGCAGATATGTCTTTATTTTACCAACTAACCATACCTGCTGTCACTTCTGAGTGTATACAGATGCTTCATACCTTCCCATTTGAACTTTAAAAATAGGAGTCATCTAGAGAATCACGTAATAATTATTGATGGTACACAAAGGATTTCTCAATTCTTTTGAAGTTCTCCACTACAAAATGCCTTTAGCAATTACTGTGAGGATCGCCAGGTTGCTGCCTTCTGTTTGCTTATCAGTCAGTCTGAAGGTTTGTGCCTCCATGGAAGCGTGTGTGTGTGCATGTGTGTAGTGCTGCCTAGATGTAATGAAAAGGAAACTTTTTCATTCCTCCCACATTAGAACCAGTATTTTCCTTGAAATTCAAATCTAGGATAAGATGACATAGCAGGGAAGATCTTTTCTCTAAAAAAGTAGTTTCGTTCGCCCTTTGATGATAGACATTGATATAGTCCTGTACAGCTGCATTCTGCTTTGTATCATTCACATAAAAACATCTTGTCCCAGTTCCTCATCTTTAAGCATCTTGAATTTGTAACTGAAGGGAAAGCTTTTTTCCCTTGGACTAGATTTATAAGTTCTGGGCTGATCTAACCCAGGTAGCTGGGTACTGTATTACTGGAGAAGACTAGATAGTAGTTACTACTGATGGTGCCTTGACTCTTATCTTCTGCATGGTTAATTTTTGTATGGTGCATCTTGTGAAGAGCAAAGATATTTCAAAGAGACCCTGACCTTTCAATAAATGCAGATCATAATTTATATTAAAAACAAGTTTGCTTAAACTTTTGAGTGTCACAGATTGTGAAAAGAAAGAATCCCTACACAGGAAAGAGTAAACCTTTTATACTTCACTGATTACAGCCTTTTGCATAGTATTTGTCATGGATTGGTAGTTTCTTCTTTACTCTGTGTTATTTATTTGTATAGAGATAGCAGCTATGGGATTGAAATTCCATATAGTGTATGCACCTGTACAAATACAGATGCCTTGTCATACAGAAAACAAGAGATGACAGGTGGATGCATCTAGCACTCAGGAAGAGTAAAAGTAATAGTGACAGGGATATAAGAGGTCACACAAACCTGTTCCTTTCATGAAAAACATGGGGTTTAGGAAGAGAGTTTAGATAGCTTCTTCCAAGCACAACTTGTATTCTTACATGAACTCTAAATGTTGATGCAGCAGGCAATAATGTCCAAAGCAGCATTTGAGTTGTATATTGTTACTCTGCTGCACATTCTGACACTAGTACCAATTGACCCTGATGTTTTTTGGTGTTATTGTCATGAATTCCAACATTTTGGAGAGCTGGCAAGCAAAAGACAGAAGGCCATTCTCCCTTTTGTTCCTGGTGCTCTTTCACAGTTCACTTCCTCTGGGAACAGTTCAAAAGAGACATTGTGCATCAGAAGACTCAGTGCAAGACAAGAAAGCCAGTTGGGTTTTGTCTACTAGTTCACTGTCTCTGGACATATAATTTAACTTTTCAGTTGTAAAATGTGAGCTGTTACCTGTGGATGAGGATTGATTAGATGACTGGAGAAATCGTCTGGTTAGGGCATCAAAAGATCCTGCTTTTTAACAGTGTGACTTTAAAAGTCACTTATACTGTCTAGGTAGTGAATTTGGTAGACAGTTTCTTGTATGAGTAAAAAGCACTATGTAAACATCAGCCACTGTTAGTGGTAATTTCAGATGTTCGCATTCATCTCCCTTTTTGTGGGCAAACTTTTAAGTTTCAAGAAGACTTAGGGTAACATGTTGGGCACTGAATTAATGGTGCAACAGTTTTTTATCAAGTATAGGCTTTTGTAAAGCTGTATCCTTGTGCTCTCCATGCAGCGGCCCATCATCTCCATCTGTTGGGGTCACAGGGACTCACGCCTGCTGATGGCTTCTGGCCCTGCGCTGTACGTTGTCAGAGTGGAGCACAGGGTCTCCAGCCTGCAGCTGCTGTGCCAGCAGAGCATCGCCAGCTGTCTGCGGGATGACAAGGAGATCAGCAAACTGACTCTGCCCCCTCGGCTCTGCTCGTACCTCACCACTGCCTTTATACCAACAATCAAGGTAAAAGGAAAAGAAACGCCTGTGTGTGTGATGGGGAGGAGAGGTTGCTTGATCTCCCCCCACCCATGCTGCTCCTAAGTGATTTAAGATACTATAATTATAATTATTACAATTTTAAAATCTTAAGTAAGGGTCATTCTGGTCCTCTTCAAGAGCCCACTGATCCATTTGATGCATATTAAAACCTGAAAAGAGGGCTCACACGTGCTGGTGTGTATTATTCCATGAAAATGGCCTTTCCAAGAACACCCCAAGGGTAAAATATGTCGGTGACTCACAAAGACTTCTGAAGGAGCTGATACTGATGATAATACTATGTCATCGTGGTAAAACTGTTGCCTTCCTGCTTGTTACATGAGTCCTTATATTGCCAGGGAAATTGTACTTAAACCTGTGGCTGCCCAAATATTTCTACTGACAGTGAGTTTTGCTAACCTTACTGCTCCAAAAGTGCTGTGGGAGAATGGACCAGGTGTTATGCCTTTTCCTTTACCATCAGCAGAGCCATCTGCTCCTTTGTTTTATGGTTTTGCCCTCAGTCACATCTCAGAATTTCCTAACTCTTTATCACAGCCCATAAACCAGAACACTAGCTGGTAAATGCCCTGCATTCCAACGTGTGTGTTTTTGTGTTATGCATTTTTTGTGTATAGGTTACAGAATTCTCTTGAGTCAGTTTCAGGTCCCTGCTAAACCTGCTAGAGTAACTAATTGGAAATCAGTGGAGTTGGCTTAAATGAGAACAAGTCGTGCCTATAAAATAATGATTCCACACAGTTCCACTTGGGTGCTGCTAATCAGGGCAATTTGTGCAATTGTGAGAAGAATTTTTGCCAGAGAAGAGTAAATACCTTTCTTTAACCATAACTCCTCAATCTCCAAAGATACATTTAACAGATCAGTGGGTCTCAGTTCTTTCTAGCATGCCTACTTCTCACCAGGATGCTTTCCTTATTGTCCCAGAGCCACCTCTGCATCTCTCTGGAGCATCAGTGACTCTGGCTGTTAGGGAAGGGATGGGATGAAGGCAGCAGTTGGCTGTAGCAGGGCTGTGAGCCATGACGGGGATCAAAAGGGCAGAGGCAGTACAAGGCCACATCATTGCCAACAACTGCTTTGTCACCTCCCAGAGGGAATGCTGGGCTGAGGAGCAGCCATGGGGCTGCATAGCTGAGAGGCTGAAGCAGTTCCCCTGTTGTTTCATGGCTGTTTCTGGAGCCTCCTCAGCGCTGCTTTATACTTTACCCTGGCTCTCCCCCAGCCACATACTCCCACCTACATTGCCAGCCATGCCTCCAGCCTGGCAAGGCAGCCTCTTCCCTGCATACATTCCTCTTCCTCCTCTTTGACTGGGGGAGGACTACATTATAGATCACTCCTTAGCCCATATCCATCTCGCCAGGTTAAGGAGGCTCCTTTTTCCCCCTACTTTTTTTTTTCTTGTACTTTCATTTTGGAAGAAACTATGTTCACTTATTTGTTAGGAATGTTTGTGTCATTTGGGCTATATTTACCCAGACAAAAGCAGTCCAGCTGTTTTAGGACTGAGCGCTTTATGGCTTAATAAAGTGTGCTGGCAGGCAGGTCAAAGTAATCTAACCTGAGCTTTGTGCTCATATTTCTCCATGTTGCATGCAAATAGGCCTTCAGCAAAGATGGGTCATGTGGTTGGAACTGAGGTAAGAAGCATAAGCTTCTTCCAGAGCTGACAGCTTTGTAACAGAGGAACATAGCATGTACCAGTACTAACCTGGAATGGAAACCTGAGCGGCCAAGTTAACTTAGCTGGCCAGCAAGAGGCAAGTTACCCTGAGATTTAGACCCACATTAAAAGAGGAGTTTGTGATAGAGCTTGAATTTGAATACAGGTTTGTTGTCTAATTTAGTGCTCTAACCATAAGTCCAACCTTCCTTTTCAATGTAACTGGTTTTAGTTTTCAGTTGACAGCTGCTTTTGACCTAACTAAATAATATACACCTGTCCGTCTTGGATGTGGGTCCTACATAAGTCACACAGTAACCTGTCCTAATACAAGTTGGGTTCAGATTCAGTTAGTTGTGTTGGGATTAAGTCACTGCAGAAAAAAATTATTATAACCTATGGGGAACTTTCTCTTTCCTTCCTTCATTTATTTAAGCCTCCTATCCCAGACCCAAACAATATGAGAGATTTTGTCAGCTACCCAACAGCTGGCAATGAACGGCTTCACTGCACGATGAAGCGAACAGAAGATGATCCAGAGGTCGGTGGTCCATGTTATACCCTGTACCTGGAATACCTTGGGGGACTGGTGCCTATCCTGAAAGGACGTCGTATCAGCAAGTTGCGGCCAGAGTTTGTCATCATGGATCCTAAGACAGATGGAAAAGCAGGTAGAATTGAATTGTTGCTTTGCATTAAAAATGCTTTAGAAGGACTTTCAATATTAAATCCTCAAGAGTTAAATAAAATCTTTATAGGCAACATGGAAGGTGGTATCTGATTTTTTTTTCTGTTGTACAAAAACCTCTTTAGCATGACCTGGGCTCAAGCCTCTGAAATTGTACCATGACGTCTTGTTTTGCAAAAGGAAACTTCCTGTGTTTTGAATAGTGGGGAATAGAGTGCTAGTTAGCAGAAAATACTCTTTAGTCTCGATTTTGAAGTTGATTGAATGCTGTTCGCTCCTCTGAATCATATTCACTGGAGTTCAAACCTTTGGAAATTCGGAGTTTGTACTGGGCAGAGTGAAGAACAGTTAACTTTCTCTGCATAGTTTTATCTCAGCTACCACCTGTGGGTTGGATTTATGCTTCTGATGACTGATAGTTTTAATTTATACCAGTTTTCTGAAGCAACACTTATGTTTTCTGGGGCCTGTCTTGATAGATGAAATCTATGGAAACAGCTTGATTTCCACTGTGATTGACAGCTGCAACTGCTCAGACTCCAGCGATATAGAACTGAGTGATGACTGGGCAGCAAAGAAATCTCCCAAAATCAGTCGAGCTAGCAAATCACCCAAACTCCCCAGGTAATAATTTCTTTGATATTTCATCTTCTTTTCCCAAAAGTTTTCTTGTTCTCTTTTCCTTTTTTTCTTTTGTTTCTTCTTTTTTTTTTAAACACTGTCTTTGACACAAAATAAAATTAAAAGCAAACTCCCTTGGGCAGACAGAAGTCTTCTGGAGGAGCAAGATCCTCTCTAATGTGCGGATCTCAGAGATTCGAGTTGAGATGGACTTTGAGGAAGGTTCTGGGGCAAAAAGCAATGGACATCACTTCTCCCCAGGCAGTCTTGAAGAAAGGTTTTATAACCTCACCCACCACTGCCTCTGCCATGTATAAACTCTTGCCACCATGGGATATATTCTGTCCTTCACACAATCTGTCTTTTTACCTCCTCTGTGCTTAGGAATCCTTCTCTAGTTAAAGCCTTTATTTCCTCAGGGGTATTTTCAAATATGCAAGTCCTTGCATAGGTGGCCATAGTTCCTGGCATAGGTGGCACTGCAAGGGAGCCTCAACAGACAGATCCTCCTAAACACTGGGTTGATGAGCTTCTGTAACAATATGCAAAATCAGCTTATTGTTTGTCTAGTTGCTTTCCTGCCAGATCTTCATTATATTAATTATATACATAGAATGCTCCACCTGCACAGCACCCAACTGATGTCTGTGATGCTTCTCATAGGCACTGTCATCTGACTGCCAGCTTCATGTGATGGGACCAAGGCCCTGATGCCTTCTATCTGCAGCTGACACTTCCAAAGACCTTAGAGTATGAGCTTGGCTAGTATGAGGCAAAGCAAATGCATCTCTTTATATGTGAACATAATGTGTGAAACATCGAAGTTTTAGCTTAGTAGTACTTCACAGAAGAACCATCAGTTACTCCTGAGCCAAAAACTGAAGTGGCACAGGAAGGACAACCATCCTGCATTCTTGGTTTTCTAAGACTGTACTTTGGAAATGTAGCTTTTGTTAATTATTTTTTTCTACTAATCAACTTTTTCAGTGGCTTTATCTTTTGTTCATGAGTCCCTTTGTATAACAGGAGGTAGGAATAACTTTTGGCTTAGAGTAAAGGCACTGACAAAGTTTGTGGAGCATTGATCTGTTGTAGTAACATGGAGATCTGCCAGCTGAGGTGTCATGTTACCATTTCTTGAGGCTTTTCTCAAAGTCTGCATAGCTGAAATAGCTCAGCTCTACACCTTTTTTATGGATTAGTGAAGGATATATAGTATCTGGCAGAATTGCTGTAAGCTTTGATAAATGAATCAGAAGGCATCTGGTCAGAGTCACTGCAAGTGTGTCAGGCGTTACATCATGGTTTGGGCCTGACCCAACAACAAAGAACCAGCCATGTGGCTGCTCACTCACTTCCCCCCACCACACACACACACACACACACACACTGTGGGATGGGGAGGACAAAGGCCAACCAGAAGCTCATGGGTCAAGACAAAGGGCAGGGAGGGTTTGCTCGCTGATTACTGTCATGAGCAAAACAGACTCAACTTGGAGAAAAACAATTATTTAATTTATGACTAATCAAATGCACACAGGACACAGACAACACAAAGAGCAGGGCTTACATATCTTATCCCCACCCCTCCCTTCTTTCTGGACCCAAATTACTTTGTTTGCAATCTCCCTACTTCCTTCCCCAGAGTGGCACAGGGGGACAGGGAATGGGGTTTAGAGTCAGGCCACAGTCTGTTGCTTTCTGCTGCTCCTTCCTCCTCAAGGAGAAGGTTTCATTACAGTCCTCCCCTGTTTCCCCACAGAGCCCCTCCCATGGGAGGGAATCCTTCATGAACCTCTCCTTCATGAGTCCTTTCCACGAGGTGCCGTCCCTCTGGAACAGGCTGCTCCAACATGGGCTTCCCACAGAGTCACAGGCTGCTTTGGGAACAGTCACCTTCCCTGGCACAGTATCTTCCATGGTTGCAAATCCAAGTCCACAGGCTGCAGGTCCACATTCACCTCTCCTGGTGTCTTTGGGGGATGCTCTGCCATGTGCCTCCATGGGTGCAGGGGACAGCCTGCCATCTCCTCATGGGCTGCAGGGGAACTTCTGCTTGGGCACCTTCTTCTCCTTCTTCCTCAGCAGCCTGGGGATCTCTACTCCAGCACTGCTCTCACCTCTTTATCTCAGATCTTCTCCTTGCTCTCTGCTCAGGTTTTATATCAGTTCTTTCCTGTGTTAATCACAGGGGCACATCTATTGTCTCTTCAATGGCGCAGCCTCGGCCACCTGAGTGGGGGGAGCTTTTAGTAGTTTCTTACAAGAACCACCCCTGGGCCCCTCCCCCACTACTGAACCATGCCAGAACCAAACCAGCACACTTTAAATCTCTTAAAATTTGACCCAGAACTCTCTATTGTGTAGATTCTAGTTTCTTCATTAGCCACTTAGAAATCACCCTACCAGTTGTTTTGATTACATCTTTACATGCAAATAATTATTTTGTGCATTTTTGTATGCCTGTTGATGATTCTAATTATTGCCTGATGTGCAGAATCAATATAGAAGCTCGGAAATCTCCAAAGATGTCGAGAGCTGCGCAGGAGATATCAAGATCGCCAAGGTTACCAATAAGGAAACCTTCTATTGGTTCACCAAGCCTAACCAGAAGAGAGTTTCCTTTAGAAGATATTACTCAGGTATTTATTGTGCACATTGTTACCAGACCTGAGTCTAAATGCATCTCCTTCCAGAGGCAGCAAGTTGTGGTATACATCCAGTTATCACCAATAAATTGTTTTCATTTAATTGCAGTGATTAGATGGAACAACTAGGTAATTGCCTCTTCCAGTTCAATGTTAATGTTTGAAAGTGCCAATGGATTATCAGGCATTGTTCAATAAATCCTGGCACCACTAACTTCTGTCAGTTTGAATCCATGTGAGAGGTTTTATTCTAGATGATGTTGTTGGCTGTTAGAAAGAAATGCTTCTTACTCAGTTTCTCTGAGCTGTCCTTATGCCACTACAGTTCTCTGCTTTGCTAGGAATTGCAGAGATAGGTAAATGCTGGCTTCAGAGGGTCACATGTTCCTTGTTTCATAATTCATAGAATCATAGAGTAGCTTGGGTTGGAAGGAACCTTTAACAGTCATCTAGTCCAACCCTGCCTCTAATGAGCAGAGACATCTTCAGCTAGATCAAGAACTTGAAACAGCCTTAATTGGAAGGATGGCAAGGAATTAGCTCTTTGTGGTGTTCATGACCTCTGGGTAACTGAAACTTAGCAGGCTGTAGAACTACCTGTGTTACATATTTTATTAATATTAGTCTGTGTTCTTTTAATTTTGTTTTGTTTCATTTCAGTTGTTGGGGTTTTTTTTCTCTTTTTTCACTTTTTCTTTACATTGAAACACTCTAGATCACTTGCACTGCAGTGGTAGACAGGGTCCTTTGAAGAGGGCAGGAGACCAGTGGATTGAATCCTGCTTCTGATATTGAAAGTGTAACTCTTGGCCTTTCATAAAATCTATTGGGTCTTTCAGACCCATAATTTAATCACCATGGAAGCAGTGGTTTGGGAAGCTGCTTTGGAAGCTCCAGCAGAAATGTTTGTCATTATGAGTAATTAATTTCTGTCTTACTTATTGTTCTGTAAAGTGATTTATAAGCATGAAACCAAAGGGTAGGGTGTGTTACTTTCTGAAATCCAGAATGGCCATGCTCTTCTTGTGCAGGAGAAGCGAGTGTCTGGAAACAGACCTGTTCTCACTAAGCAGCCATCACATTGTTCAGTTCTTCAGCAGCTTTAATCAGCCTACGTGGCTGTTTTTAGCACCATTTCTGATGGTGTTCAGGTATCAGAATGGGACTTCTTAATAGGCATATTAGGGTATTTCAATAACATAAAAACAAGAGAAACTGAAATTACATTGTCACTTGCGAAAGTCTGATTGCTCTGCAGGTTTTTTATAGAGCTTGATACAGTTTTTATTAGGTGAAAATTATCTTCTTTTTGCTTTGCAGCACAACTACCTTGCTCAGGTCACATCTAATATCTGGGGAACAAAATTTAAAATTGTGGGTTTGGCTGCTTTCCTACCAACTAACCTTGGTGCAGGTAAAAGTAAATTCTGTTGACTTTTTGCATGTCAAACTCTTTCTAACAAAAAACATATGCCATGTGATTCTTCTTTAACAATGCACTTGTTTTCTGTGAACAGTAGGAATTAGCTATTACAAAACTCAGTATAACTAAAAGAGATTAAAATCTATAAATACAATAATGAGATGATCCATAAAAGGCCCAGACCTTTACTGTTACAGATTATTTGAACAAAACCCAAACGAATTAAGACAATTTTTTGCAAGACTGTAAAAATCACTGGGTTTAAGTTACTGTAATTGAAATATTTTTAAAACTCAGTTCTTAATAGTCATTTAGCTACTAATTGTACCAAAACAATGCTCTTACAGCATCATGCTCAAGATTTTTCCAAGTCGGTGCACAGCTTTATTATATGGTTCTCTTGCTGGAGCATTGTAAATTGGTAGCATTCATTAAAAGTAGCAGTTGTCTAGTCTCTTGACCTTCTCCTGTGTCAGCCATTTCTCCCTAGATAGTTCTGCTGAAAGGAAGAAGGCTAAGTAAACAACAGGGTAGCATCTAGCAGAACTGAGCTGTGAATCAAAATATTAGTGCATGTGTGGAAGTTCTATGACCTCTTTGGAAAACTTATTTTTTCCTGTGTTGCATTATATATGGTAAGGTCAGGACTACATCATGATGTCCTGGATGCAGAATTAGTTAAATAGATATCTTTTGTGGCTGCTGTTGGACAAGAAGCAGTGTCCCAGGTACTGAGAAGAGGAACTTCTCTGACCCAGTCTCCAAGCAGAAGGTTATCCTCCCAGGATATTGTCACCCTGGGGACAACCAATGCTACTGTTACAGGGCAGTGGCACCTTCTACTTGATGAAGTGTTATGGAAGCCCTCAAGTTTGTTCCAGCAACTTTTTTTGTAGTTTACAAATTTCTGACATCTGCATTTGCAATCATTGTCAAACGGTAGTGTAAGAATGACCTTACTGGTTCAGACCAGAGGTTGTTCTTATTCTGTCATTATCAATGACAGATATGTAGGGAAGGATACAAGTGTTTTTTAAGTGTGTGGTGATACTTTCTTCAGGTGTTCTTCCAGTCTCTTTGTGTGCAGTAACCCTCAACAGATTTTCTTCCTAAGAGCTTTCAAGTTTTTGCCTAAGCTCATGTAAGTCAATAAGATCCTGCGGAGAAGAGTTTCAAAAGTAGAATGGAAAAATTATTTCCCTTTAAAAAAATAGATGTGACTACAAGATGAAGCAATTCATTATTTTTACAGATTATTTAACTACAGAGATGCTGCTTCAATTTACAGAGAAATAGCTGAAAGTAACTATTTCTTTATCCTCTTTATACAGTGTTACATAGTGATTTGGCTAAGAATGGCCCATAAATGCATTTGTTCATTAATACATTAAATAAAAATAGTCATAACCCTTCAGTGTGCTTTGAATTGATTCTTTCTTAGCTTTATATGCTGTTTGTTTAACAGGGTTTTTTTATTTATTTCTTGTTCTACTCTTTCTCCAGTAATATATAAAACCAGCTTGCTGCACCTTCAGCCCAGACAGATGACAATATATCTCCCAGAAGTGCGGAAGATTTCGATGGACTACATTAACCTGCCTGTCTTTAATCCAAATGTTTTCAGTGAAGATGAAGATGATTTACCAGGTAAGGAGGAACTGGAGGAGCAGAGCCATGTTATGGGTTAAGCTAGATGGAGAATGGATCACTTGTGTCACTAGCCCCCTCTGGTAAACACACAAATCAAAATCCCCTAGTCTGATGGGGTCCTGTAGAATCAAATTGGAATAAGGCTGATATGTGTTGTGGACTAAAATAGGTAGAAAATATAATCTGTAAAAGTTTCAAGTTCATTGGAAAGTTAATAAGCTTCTATTCAGTTTACTGAGAATTCTCCGTAGACTGAAGCTTTGCATTCTGCATCTTTGTAGGACAGACTCGTAATGTGTTGAAAGATCAAAAGGGTGGTTCTTGTGACCTGATGGCAGCAAAGCACAATCTGCTGATAGGAACTTGGGTTGCAGAGCAGGTTCCAATAAAACTTGGCCATCCTTTGAGAAGTGATAAATGCCTATTCGGATTTTTATCAATACCAAGTCTTACAGAGAGGCTAAAATTGTAAGTAGTCTGTAAACAAAGGGGATCAGTAAGAATTTCTCATTTCTCAGTGGTAGTTCCTATTGGAATCACTCTCACCACTTTTTGCAAAAGGAACTGGAAGCATTTGAGCAAGCTCCATGCTTCTGCACAAAATTACCAGAATTGCTTCTTGCCTTACTGTTCCTTGTTCACCACCAGTGTGATATGTGGGAAACTTTCCCTATATGCATGTGCTGCTTTTCATATTTCTGACTGCAGCCTGTCCAAACATTGATGCAGAAGTTACCCTGACTACAGTGCCCAGTTCTTGAATCTTTATGGTTTCCCATCTTTTTCCTTAGATTTCACATTTCATGTCTCATCTATTTCCTCACATATTTTCCTTACAAATCTTCTTTCAAGAACACTTCTAGGTTTTGTCTGTATTTCATTCCATCATATTCCTCTCCCTCCTTTTTTTCATCGTCCTTATTTTTGTGTTACTGGTTGCTTGATCGCCCACTATACTGAAGAGAATGTAATACTCTCTTTTTGTCAACTGTTGTCTGTATTCTCCAGTTTTGCTAAGCTCACTGAGCCTGGGGACATGCTATTAGATACAATATAGCACCTTCAGCAGGTCTTCAACATTCTTTTTCTTTTCCTCAACTTTTTTTTTTTTTTTTTTTTTTTAAATGACTTCAAAAGTTGAAGACAAAACTCTTAACTGCTGTCAGATCAGGTCAGGCTTGAGGAGCATCCCTTCATCTTCCTCCTGAAGCTCAGTTCAGCATGGTGAAACCTGACTGGCTCTAGAGGGAGTCAGCATGGGGACAATCAGTGGGGACTTTTTTGTGCCTCACCATCAGGGAAGAGGAGCCCTAGAAGAAGGCAGAAGGCCATGTAAGTGGTCCTAGGACTAGGGGCAAAGAAAAGGTGGCAGCAGCCAGACGTCTGTGAGTGGATTTTCCTTTCTGTTGTTGATGTATTTATTATTTTTAAAAAAACTTCCCTGAAAACTAGTGCGTCCTGATGCAGCAAAACTTTTCTTGATTTGAGTAGAAGTAGTTAAAGGTGGCTGATAAGTGAATGGTAATTCAGACCCAACAGGTAAACTCCTTGGTCTGTCAAAGTCTGTGACAATCCTAGTATAGACTGAAAGCAAGCTCTGTAGTTTATTCACCTCTGAAGCATCACTCCCAAGAAGTTACTTTAAATTTGCTCACCAGCAATGACAGTGGGAATCAGTGGAGATAGGCTGGCTTCCTTGTTCACATTGAGGTCTGATCCATTGATTTTGGGATCTGATAGCAGTCCCCCCAAATGCAGCAGAGCAGTTAAGCAAGGACATAAAGATAGCAGGTAGTTTTAAAAGTCAGAGGTGAAGTGGAATGACAAAGTACAAAATAAGTACAATGTGGTTTTTTTCTAACTAGCTTTAAAAAACAATTTCCTCTCTGCTTCTGAATTTTATGTCAGTGCTGCCATGAATTTTCCCATTAAGACATTTTTAGTGACCTGCATGTCTTCCACTAGTGCTGGAAGAAGAGACCCCCAAAACATGTGAAACACTGCTTCAGGAAAATGTCCTATTTTCATGCCTTTTACCCAACTGGAGGTTGGTAAACAACAGGAGGCCAGGGCCAGCAATTCCCTGCCAGGCAGAGGGAAGGAGGATTCCAGGAAACTGCAGGCCTAGCAGCCTGACCTCAGTACTAGGGAAGGTTATGGAGCAGATCATCTTGAGTGCCACCACATGGCACATGGTCCCAAACAGGATGAGATGGCATGTCCACATGCGGGACAAAGAGGTCATCAGGCCCAGTCAAAATGGGTTTATGAAATACATGTCCTGCCTCACTGATCACCTGCTATGACAAAGTGACCTGCTTAGTGGTTGAGGGAAAAGATGTGGATGTTGTCTACCCAAACTTTAATAAAGCCTTTGACACAGTTTCCCACAGCATTCTCCGGGAGAAATTGGCTTGGATGGGCGTACCCTCTGCTGGTTTAAACACTGGCTGGATGGCCAGGCCCAGACAGTTCGGGTGGATAGAGTTAAACCCCAGCTGGTAGCTGGTCACAAGTGCTGTTTCCCAAGCATCAGTACTGGGCCCAGTTCCTTTTAATATCTTTATCAATGACCTGGATGAAGGGGATCAAGTGCACCCACAGTAAGTTTGCAGATGATACCAAGTTGGGAGGGAGTGCTGATCTGCTTGAGGGTAGGAAGGGTCTACAGAGGGACCTGGACAGGCTGGATCAATGGACCCAGGCCAAGTATATGAGGTTCAAAAAGGCCAAGTACTGGGTCGTGCAGCTGAGTCACAACAACCCCACACGATGCTACAGGCTTGGGGAGGAGGGGATGGAAAGCTGCTCAGAAGAAAAGGACCTGAGAGTGCTAGTTGACATGAGCCAGTGGTGTGCCCAGGTGGCCAAGAAGGCCAACGGCATCCTGTCTGGTATCAGAAATAGCACAGCCAGCAGGAGTAGGGAAGAGATTCTCCCTGTATACTTGGCACTGGCAAAGCCACACCTCGAATACTGTGTTTGGTTTTGGGCCCCTCGCTACAAGGACATTGAGGTGCTGGAGTATGTCCAAAGAAGAGGAATGAAGCTGGTGAAGAGTCTGGAGAACAGGTCTTACAAGGAGCATCTGAGGGAACTGGGCATGTTTAGGCTGGAGAAAAGGAGGCTGAGGGGAGACCTTACTGTTCTCTACACCTACCTAAAAGGAGGTTGTAGCAATGTGGGGGTCGGTCTCTTCTCCCAAGTAACAAGCAATAGGAAATAGGAAATTACCTCAGGTTGCAGCAAGGGAGGTTTAGACTGGGTATTAGGAAAAATGTCTTCGCTGAAGGGGTTATCATGCACTGGAACAGGCTGTCCAGGGAAGTGGTGGAGTCACCACTTGCGGTGCTCAGGGACATGGTGGAGCTGATAGTGCTGGGTGAGCGGTCGAACTTGACAATCTTCAAAGCCTATTCCCACCGAAACGACTCCCTGACACCCTGTGTTGTTTGTTGCAGTGCCCGGCGCCCCCGGGGCCCCCACCAGCAGTCCGCCCTGCACCGTCAACATCCCCATTGCGCCCATCCACAGCTCGGCCCAGGCCATGTCGCCCACGCAGAGCATCGGCCTGGTGCAGTCGCTGCTGGCCAACCAGAACGTGCAGCTGGATGTGCTGGCCAACCCGCCGCCCGAAG